TTTAACAACCTTTCTTTAAAATGGATTGTACTAGGCCCTGAGGCCTGTTAAATTTACAACACTGACAATTAGCTTAGCCTTTCATTTCTGAGCGGATTTCTGCAATCTTACTGCCCGTTTTATTGCTTATCACCTCACTCACACTAATCTATTCAAAAGCTTCACTTCAGCAAGCCTGGTCAACCCAGTAACAGTACTTTTTTCTTAACTTCGGCAAATAAATTTCTGTATTTTTACCGCATTAATCGAAAGCCTTGGCTACGACTTCATGATAGTTGAAGTCGCTTTAATGCCGCTTTCCATCGCACTTTTCGATAGTCTATGCAACGTTTTGGTGTGAGAAGAGGTGAAGCATTTGTTGAGGAGAGCAGTTATGACTGGCATTTCTTGAGTATCGCGTTGACAGAAAGCTGTCTATTAGAGGATGGATCGCATGGCTTTTTTCAGTATACCCATTAAAACTTATACAAACGTGTTTTCATTTCTGAGATTCAATTTATCCTATATAATGACATGGGAAACACACATTGTGATAGATCTTCACCAGGACTATATCACTTACAATAGTAACCACTGTTTTTCGCCAACCATCATTGTTTGTAGTCAGAAGGGTGATTGTGAAGTGTTGACAAAGCTGTCGCATAGAATCTACTCTTACTTCGCGAATGGAGGTCCAGGTTAAAACACAGTCAGATTGTTGGGTTTGTCCTTTAAATGGGTGATGTATGTTTGAAAATTCTCAAATTTGTTTACCCTTAATGCACCTTCTATAGGTGGATACACCAATTTTGACCACCACGGACTGCGAGGGTGCTGGGGAGACTTTCCTTGTAAAGTCCAAGTCCAAGGGGGAGGAGGAGGGGGGGCCAGCGCCCCTCCACCTTACCGTCAGCGCGCAATTGCATTTGGAGGCACTGGCTCTGGGTATGAGCAAGGTAGGTGAGCATGGTCATCCTACAACCGATTTGGACTGCGAGATGCAGGCTGTTTCGTTTTGTTTTTTTCTCTTTTCTTTGCTTTAGCGTTTGATGCTTCATTCCTCTCATGCCCTCCATTGGTCATTCAATGTTTCTATCTTTATTTTTATTTTAATTGTTTCATTTCATAGTCTTTATCCATTATGATTGTTCTTCTAGCATTTTGTCAAGTCAGTGCTGATTTGTTTTCCTTTTTGCGTTTGTTTTGCAGTAAATGCAAAATATAAGCGCTTATAAAGGTGTGATCGAAGGAATTAAAGTTTTCTACTAGGTTTCGATCAGGTACATTTAGTCGTTGTAATTAGTTAATGTCGGTTGACAGGTAGGTCAACGCTGATTGCTGGGGGGGAGGAAGGGCCACATTATGACCACTCAAGCGCCATCCACTAGTCTCTACTTGCTCATTATTTTGACAACACTGCCGTATTTGGCTCAAAGCGAATAGAAACGCTAGTCGAACGCATGATTATCCCAAGAAATCGGTACTGTATTAATCAGCTTTTGCTATTTATCAGCACCTGCGGGATGTCCTTCACGATGTGGTGGATAAGATGGCTTTCAATTTTGACGCTAAGTTAGAAGAAAAGCAAAATGTGTGGAGTTTGGTGACGAAGGTTGCATTTCAACTGGTCTGATAGCGACCTCTTAACTTTCACCCACTGCTACTGCGTCAAATATTTTGCCATGAAGTGTTGTGCGATTCGTTTGGATACGGAGTAATCATTAGGAGACGCGGTTTCATTTTTGATCCCCAGACTGGCCCCAATAGCAACGTAATGTGATAGTTGCCGAAAGTCGCCCCTGTTTCTTTTTATTTTCAACAGTTTGTTTCCGCTCCCGACAGCATCACTTCTACGGGCTAGCGATCTCTTAC